TTTTGTCGCAGGACTTATTTGCCAACCTAATATTTCTGGGGGGCGCGCGATTCACGCGTGATCCCATCAGAGCTCTTCGCGCACGCAGCATCGCTTCGGTACTTTTCTGTTGAGATGGACCAAATAAATTTGCAGTAGTCCACGGCTTCACCATGAATTAGAGCAAATCTCTCTACTATGGCAATGAGGCCCCTTCGAGATTAAAAATTCACTTCGTAGGTCAATATACTTGTCAAACGTTCAAAATAAGAATAACTTCAAATTTTTCGATACTAGTAAACGCAATCCTTCTGTAAACCTGCATAGTTGGTCATTTCTTTACTTATTCTACTTATAGTTTCTTATTTCTTCCATTATGATGGTAGGCATGATGTTTTAGCGCGTTTTGTACGATGACCGCATTACATTGATGCATGAATCGCACCACACCCAATATTTCTACAATAGCATGTCTTGAATAAAAACTTGAACCCTCAACATAGATGCACTTTAGAAAAAATAAGCCTTACTACGTTCACAACAACCTTCACTTGTGGCTACTCTGTTTTGCTCGTCAACGTCTCAGATAAAATGAGTATAACATTTTATTTCTGAACGTCACCAAATCTTACTTGGGAGATTTCAAAAACCACATGACAAATTGGGCCATAGAAACACAGTCCGCTACGAATATGAATCCGTAGTGCCCGTTGTAACATAGTATATGTGCATTCATAACATAAAACCTGTATATATGAATGAGACCTATCAAGGATGCGCATCATTTGCGTGTTAGCCACCTGCATATGGTAGTAAAGAGACAGTGATTGCAAACATTAAAATAGGGCTCTAGTGTTGGGGAAGAAAATAGGTAACAACAGATGAAACCTCACATTGATTTTAAAACACAGCAAGAGTTTATGTACATATAACTTTCGAAAAACATTATGCCTTAATGAACATGGTAGTCAAAAAAGGAACTTTTTGTGCACATTAACAAAGTTTACAATAAAAAGAGAAAGAATTATCACAACGAAAATATAATGTTTTACGTTTTCTAGGCGAAACAATAAAACAACCAGTTGTGTTAAAAGCTTTCGAAAACCGAAGAGTAACGAAAAAACTGCACAGAACCGAGTTTTGGACCGACGGAGAAGGAAAACATTCCGATTGTTGAAAGCTCATGAAGCTCATGAAATTCTCAACGAAATATTAGTAGTGAGATAGGGTGAACCGTAAAGCATCCATAATATACCAGACGAGCGATGACCTCATCATTTCTTCTTTTTCCTGTCATCGAAAAATGACCTAAACCGATCTTGAAAGAAGTCTTCGAGCTGCTCGGCGCACTGGAATGATCACAATTAGTAACATCATCACTATTTAGTACTTCTAAACAGCGACAGCGAAGTCGGCTTACGTCGAAAACTTCACTTCCTTCCTCATTGTACTCTTTACAATTTGCAATAATGAGGTAGGCATCTGATCGAACTTCTTCGGGTGTATCGTAAATATGTTGCTTTATTTTGTTGATTATTTTACGAAGATCCATAGGTCGGCTGATCACGTCATAATAGTCCGGAACCTAGAATGCCGTATTCCTGACTTCCTCATGTAATAACAACATCACGCTATCATTTGAATTGCGCAGCTAGATGCAACAGAGCTAGTAGAAGGAAACTTCCGAAGGGATGAATCGAAAAAAAAAAAACAGATCTCAGGAAAAAAAACAAAAAATAAAGAATCCTTTAAACCATTACACACCTCTCTTTTGTCCACTGGTTCAATGAATGGCCATGCATATGGCTCCTTCATAGCTTCCCGGATGATATTTTCGAGAGCCTCTATTCTCGCTCGCGACGACAAATCAGCATCACGTAAAACGGGTGCGAAACTACGCTTCGGAGATTCAGTATACTCATCAGTGTCTGAAATTAAATTTTTCGGATTGCAAGCCAGGGACTTTTCGGAAATGTCACTCCATTCTACGCGAACGATATAAGAGAAAGAATATGGACGTCTTGAAAACAGCTGAAGAGTCTAGGCAGCTTAAGAATTTAGGAAAGTTCAAGACATCCAAGCTGGAGGAGTTCGAGTTTACTTTCAGGTTAGTAAATTTATCATACTATTATATAAGTGGCCTGCTAAGCGAAGGTGGTGCACGTAACTCTATCAGCACATCACACCCAGCGGCAAAAGACAACTAGGAAGCACTTTCAAGTTCAACCCCCATGCATTGCACGCACAGCAAACGCAAAGTCCTTGCGCTTCAGAGTGACATATTTGATCCAGATTCACGTTCAGAAAGAATTCAACCTGAAAGATGCTTGGGTTGGGGATAATAGACGCGTCGTCGCGTCGACAAAAGGCTACCTCATTTATCTTGCTAGGCCACTCCATTCTAATCTAAACTATAAATGATGAAGAAATCCTGACACGACTAAATGAGATCGGCATTTATACATGGCTCCTTACCAGCGCACCAATGGCTAAGACAAATGCTGAGTCATACAAGCACTGAAACATGGAAGATTCATCAAAGTCGTCGTACTCACTTTTTCGTCTCCTTTTACTCCGTGGAACTGAGGATGATTCACTGTCATAATCCAAGTCATCATCAATGAAGTCAACATGAGAATAGCCGTTCGATCGCATAGACTGCCGCTTAGAAGACTGCAAGATAGCACGTTTGAGGAAAAAGCAATACCTTTAGAAAGAGAGTAATCTGCAAAGGGAACCTTAAGTGGGCGTGGAGATAAGTCCGAGTCAGGAATCATGACACTATCTGTGTATTGCACTCGACGCACAGTTCGACCGCTACTTGTGCGAATGACATTGTTCGTACCATGCCCATTGTTTTGCCTGATTATGGCTCTCATACTTCGGATGAATTTAAGAATCTGAGCAGAGATTAGAAAATGAAACCTACAACGATTCTTCACCAAACGTAGTACTAAGGCTATTTTCGTCTCCCATATGCTCGTCATCGAAGGTCTCTTCTGGTGCTTGCATGGCAGCTTCTGCAAACATATGCATGATGTTACCAGCAAATCAGATTTCAAAATATGAAATCATATGAAATGCATCACGACTGACACTTTTGAAGTTACGGAGCATTAGCTCTTGAAACAGATCACCGGAACAAAATAATGGATGAACTATTTGCAACAGCGTTTTGAGACTCCGTAAAGTAAACATGCGGTGACATAACGTAATGAACATAACTCATAAGTTCCAATCGAGCAGCCTTCTAAAGGCGCGACTAATGGAGCGATTTAGACTTTAACAATGTTCTGAAGTCAGTTGAGACCATAAAGTCACTTGCGATATTTTTAAGCCCTGCACTACCTTTCTGAGCTTTTCTTTTTTCAGCAGCTGCAACTTTCCGTCGGACAGCTTTACAGTCAGCACAGCACCAATCTAGAGGAGCAGGACCAACACCGAGCCGAGCACAATGAAAGTGATAGCACCGATTGCAATCTGCGCATAGTACCAACGCTTCAGCATTTGCTTTACGACGACATGCACGGCAACGGGCCTAAATAGAGTCGGGGAATGAGGCATAGCAAATTCTGCGATAGTAGAGGCACTAACTTGAAGTCTACTCTTATCCCACATTATGGCTGGTTCCAAAGTCGACAAGAAAAGGCAAACAGCCGGTATCGAATCACACATCAACAGCGCTCGTTGCCATCGCAAGAAAACTGGTGTGGCCATAACAACACTGCGACCAGCTGAATGATTGAACATGTTTATGAAATAGGTGAAAATACAGGCTGCCGTGTTGCGTAAGAAGCAGTTCTCGATAAACTGTAATGTTCCCCAGCACACAAAGAGTTTTCCAATACCAAGTCACCATTACTTTTTTTCTCGCCAAATCACATTCCGTTGAACTTACTTTCGTCAACTTTGGTCACACTGAACGGTTTCTGGAAAAACTTCAAACTAATGCACTGAACCAACTGTAGGAATGCAACAGCGAGCCTGAATATCAATTTCACGTATAATGCAGATGCAGTAATGTAGCTTGTTTGAGTAGACAAACTTTTGGATCTCGGTAAGCCGCGGCAGTTCATCTTTTGTCCATACCACGTCGTCTTGAGCACCTTTAACGACCACGTCTCGATCCATAAGCGATGTAATATCCCCTGTATCCAGCAAAACTTGACGCCAAGTCTGGCGATCGATGTGAGACGGCAGACGACCGAGCAGTCCCTGCTCCATCTAAACACCAGTTTTCAAGCAATTTTGCGGGAAATTGCAGTGGCTGAGACATGGAACTGCACCAGATTGCAGCGAATTAAAGTGAGCAGGCTCTTACCTTCTCCTCCAAATCTAAGAGTAGTTCACGCAGTTCTATAGGCCATTCCACACCACTCTGCATTTCAGCAGGATCCGGCTGACCGACCATGAACAGTGCCTCGAGCTGACCATTAGCCAATTTCGTCTCCTTAATAACGAAGACTGCACCAAATGAAAAAATCTCATAGCATAGCCAAGCACACTAAAGGTAAGTCGTGGAGAGCAGAAAATTAATTGAATAGTTACGGAACTATTTCGCATCACTCTCTCTTAACCCCTTCGGAAAGACCGCTGGCGATGACAAGACCATTTGGGTACAAATTTTGGAACTGCCACCAATGCGCGTCTGTAGACTTGAAGTCCCACGACAACAAAACGTCATAGGAACGTGACAAGCTTAACAACCATCTCTCTATACAGCATTGCCAGCCAGTTGTTTTGCAGAAAAATCAGACGGTGATCAATATTAGGAGAGCAAATCCAGGTAAAACAGTTCGGTTCGTATCAGTGTATTAGATACTCTTTTTTGTTGACATGATCTGCCACCCTTCTTACCTCATGAAACACCAGGCGGCTCTACCCATGAGAGACGGAGCCATATGAGCTGATTTTCATTATAGACCTTTATCGGGTTTGTGAGTTTTCGCTCAAACCCCGCCCCCTGTTGGCAAAGTCTGGTCCTGCCATCCACCATAAGTTTTAACATCATGCCGCCTGTACTGCTACCAAATTTGAACTCTCTAGGTCCATGGGAACCGGAGTTATGACTTTTCGTATATAAATGTAAGAAGGGATGTGAGCTTCGAAGCACGCTCCGCCCATTGTGGGCGGACTCCTCTGACGTCATTTATGCTGAAGACACCTTTGCCAATGCTTCTCCCACATCAACTTTTTCCTGCTCTGTTGGCTTTCTCCAAACCGAGTTATAAATGTTTTCATAAAGCATTGCATTTTTGGAGGATGCCCCGCCCATCGGGGGTGGGTCTCCCCAGTTCGATCTAACTCACCAACGTACACCTCCAACCACCTTTAAACCCCATTTTTGATACCGTCTCGTGACTGAATTTGAAATCATGGTCTTCAGTNTTTTGTGCACATTAACAAAGTTTACAATAAAAAGAGAAGGAATTATCACAACGAAAATATAATCATGTTTTACGTTTTCTAGGCGAAACAATAAAACAACCA